GCATTCAGCATATATTGACTACGTTGAACAGGTTGAATATGGGACAGTTTCTATGTGCAGGCAATGACCTTTATTTTTTAAATAGTAATTAATGTATTGAATTGTCAACTTTAGTTAAAACTTTCAGCTAAGTCCTCTTGTGTGTTTGTTATTTTGTCATCGCTTATATTTATTTATTATGTATTTATTTTCAAATACTCTCTACTTTTGTACATTTATGTAGGTATTTTCTTATTTTTTGTATGAATTAAATATAATCTAATGATCCATATATGAATGGTTTTTTTTTATGTTTCTAAAAAGGTTTTTAATCTTCGTGATGTAGGTATACAGAACACAGTGAGATGATGCAGTCCCTATAGTTATATTATTTAAATGTTTATATATAATTGACAAATAAACATCATTATTATTAGATAGCTACTTTATTTTGAAAATTAAATATTTTGAGTTTATTACCATATTAAGTAATATTTTTGTTTTTTTTTTTTTTTTTAATTGAAAATAGGGGGTTGCTGGTTCAAGCCTCAAATATACGTCAAAAGATGTCCCCCAAAGAAAATCATCCGACGTATTTCGGGAAATTTTTCCAATTACTATGGGATAAGAAATATACGGGGTGGCTCGTCTGAGATGGAACACACTGTATAGTTGGGATCCGACAGAATTAAACACTGGTCCATAAATACTGCAAAACGATTGGTTAACGAAATCATTCAAAAAAGATGTAAGAATATTCTTGATTCAACAAAAGTATAAATACATAAACAACACTAAAAAACATCTACTTCTTTGGATTATATCTAAATTTCTCAAAAATATATTGGATGGAAGATGGCCATAATTCGTGAAATGCAATACTGGTGCCATCTATCAACAGATAGTCACACTATCGAGTTGCACATATTACTTGTAGAGGCTGAAACTTGATTTTAATTAACGCACTTTTCTCTCACGCTCATGGAGAAACGATTATTAGATTTATTAGAACAGAAGTAAAAGTTGGAAATGCTTTTGCCAGTTCTCCCACTTTATACACATAAATTGACAGGTTGGCAACGGATCTCACCGAAGTGGACGCGATACATTGGCGTACAAAATTATTTTATAGATGTTAATAACAATTTCGAGTAAATAGTTTAATAAATTGTGAATAGCTGTTGAAATTTTGTAAAATTATGATTTGAATATTATAATAAATGTTTATAATAATTATTTATAATCCATAAATACATGCGATTGTCCGGTTCGGCTGATAACAATTTAAAATTACTTATTCTATGAAACGACACTGGCAGGTAAACATTACTGCGAAATTCTCGGAGCCGCCCGACGTGGTTTGACGTTTACCCCCTCTCTACCTACCAAAAGACTTTTCAACTTTTACTTTCTCTATACTCACGTTCAGGCCTCGCAACGAAATGGAGACAGGCGTAACAAAAAAGCTACAAAAAAGTTACAAAAAATGAGCCTAGTCCGAGCTGGTGCCGCTAAAAATATCCGCTAAGCTAGCGGATCCGCGCTTTTCTCAGGTTCAGTACAAGCTACAAAAGGGAGACTAGCGTAACAAAAAAAGCTATAAAAAAGTTACGAAAAACCAGCTGGGTCTGAATCTGTGCCGCTACTATGGAATTTATGGAAATTCAAGCTAGCGGATCCGCTGTTTTTTTCGGACCTGGGCAAAGCTACAAATTCGCAAATAGCGTAACAAAAAAGCTACAAAAAAGCTACAAAAAACCCACCAGGTCTTGTATGGTGCCGCCACAGAGTGCCCGCTAGCTTGATAGAGCCAGTATCTGGGGGGCTATTTTCAAAGTCGAGAGAATTCATTTCTCTCGAGAGAAATGTCATACGTCAACGTAAAACAGTAATTTTTAGGGTCCTAAGGGCCAGTGTGAACTCACTGATTGTTTCTCACGGTTTATTTAGAGATAATTAATATCCTCCTAAGATTTTTAATCCTCGAGGCCTTTAAAAACAGCGTTTCCACATTGACGTATGACATTTCTGATGAGAATCTTGAGAGAAATGAGTGCTCCCATACTTTGAAAATAGCTCCCCAGGGTCTCGATTCTCGACTTTGTAGGAAATAATTCCTATAGTACAAATTCCTACGAGTATTTTCCTACGACTTCAATGACATGTATTCTCGAATCAAATAGGAATCTGAAATCCTATAGGAATTGAAAGTAGGGTATGTCTGTGATAACTTCAAACAATCATTTAAAACCACCAATCGCCTTCGGTAATTTTTCATAAAATTTTGATCCTACATGTTGGTAGATGTGGGTATTGTGGGCAGTTTTAAAACTTTGGTTATAATATATATTTTGATTTTATTTTTAAATTTCGTGGTTAGTTTGATTTTATTTAGGTACATGGTTTTTGATTTGTCTGTTTTATATCTAAATTAAGAAATAGTGACATTGTGGTGTACATAAGATGAGCGAAAATAAAAAAAATGGGTTTTTTGTCAGAAGAACAGAAACGTAAATTAATAGCGTTCCTTGAGCATGATGAGAGTTATAAAATAATAAATTTAGGGCCCTATTCAGTAATTTATCGTTTATGGACGACCTCGTTAAGCTAACGACAGTTCAACCAACGACTTTTATAACGTTAATGTTTAAAGTGTTACAGTTAAATACCGCCGAAAATATGCATTTTATAAAAAAAAGTTTCAGACAAAAGTTTTATAGTTTTTTAGAGGAAACATTTTGGCTAAATTCATTTTTCTATAGCTGACCCATAATATGGCCATATCGAGGTGGATTTTTTTTCAAATTTGAACCCTATTTTTTTATATAGGTATTAGAATTCATAAAAAAATAAGGAACTTCTAAAGGAAACATTTTTTTATTGGAATTCTACTTCGCGAAAAAAAAGTTGGCCATATTATGGTTAGCTATAAAAAAAACGATTTTAGCCAAAAATTTTTCCCCAAAAAACTATAAAACTTTCTTTTTTATATAAAAGGCGGCATTTAACTGTAACACTTTAATTTGAACACCCGGTATATTTGACATTTTTTTGGAACGTAAAATAAAAATTCTACCAGTAGATATATTCATTTGTTTTTCAGAATATATTAATTATTCTTAACCTACAACCCGATCAGGGGGTCGACTAGGAATTCTGTTTCTCGCGGGCCATTTGCTGGTGTATTGTATGTAGGGTTTATTTAAATGAGTATGGATATATTAAAAAAAAACAGAACTAGTCCAAAAGAATACAAAAAACAACTCGAGAACAGTACGAGTTGTATTTATTGGATTTGAAAGACAGAAACAAAATTTGATACTATCAAACCTGCTTTCTGGCAACTCAGGCCATTAGCCTCGTTTTCTGTTTAGGTTACAGAGTAGTATTATTATAATAGGTACTTCCATAATATAGGTTTTATTACTGTTTCGCAGTGCTACTTTAGGAACAGCACTGTTAATAAGAATCCAATAGTCGAATGGGCAATACTAACTTTTTTTTTAAATAATTAAATAAATTAGAAAAAAATTTCTTACAAATTGTACTTGCTATATTAGGTAGATGGCAATTTAGTTGTAAAATTTGTAAAAAAGTGCTTTTATTATTTAAAACACATCTTTCCTCACGATAAAAAATGGGAGGGAATGGAAAAATCACTTTAACGACACTTCATATTATTAACGACAGCTCTGTGGCTATCGTTGATGAACGACAATTTTACAACCATATTTGTCTATTTTCAACGATAATCGTTGTCTACTGAATAATAAAAGTTGTCTGTGAACGATTATCGTCTATTAACGACGTCGTTCAGAGTTAAGGCTGTATGTCACGATACTAAATTAAGTACTAAATTTAGAACTAAATTAATGCATTTTTTAAGTACTAAAAAAATTCACGTTGCAAACAGCAAATTTAGCACTAAAAAAAGTCATTAATTAATTAGATCTTTTTCTATTTTCTACTAAATTTAGTACTAAAAGTGCGCCGAAATGTTGCGCAGAAGTTTTTCATAGAAAAAGTTGACACGACGGTATTTTATGTACCCTTTTATTTTTAATTAGCGACAATTTTACATTATCGCCTTGAATAAAGTTCGCTTGTTTGATTTTGTAGGTTTTATTGTGTTTTTTCGTGGCTTTTATGCTGTATTTGGTTGTTGTCAAGTCAACTAGTGTCAAATTGATAATAAAAACACCATTTACTTGTCTGTTTTACACATAATATTTCATTTCTCTGTTAATTTCACGTATTAATACGTCAATGCGCGTGCGTCTATAGTAAATTTAGTACTAAAAATTGGTATCGTTGCAAACGGAAAATAAAATATTTTTAGTTCTAAATTTAGTACTAAATTAATAACTTAATTTAGTGCTAAATTTAGTACTTAATTTAGTATCGTGACATACAGCCTTTACTGAATAGGCCCGTTTTAGTAACATACAACTGAAAAAATCATTCAAAATTTAAATGACAATGGTATTCAAATGACAGCAATGAGAGTTGAGAGCATTGCGCACGTACCGCAAATGTCAAAACACCAAATTCCTACAGCCAAACCCCATAGGAATTCATTTTGTAGGAATTGATTTCCTATAGGTATATCAAGAATACCAAAACTTGATTTTCATAGGAAAGTGACTTATTTCCTATAGGAATTTATGTCGAGAATCGAGTCCCTGGTGGGAATGTGTTAAAAATGTCAAATGTCAATTTTCTGATCGGTGATTAATCAGTTTTACACGTAATATTTCTTGTGTGTTTCTGTTATAACTATTTTCGATTTGATTAAAATTATTTTTTTACAGTCCATAGACACACACAAAAGTGTATTCAAGTGCAAACTATCACTAGTGTCATATGTCATTCCCCTTGTGGTCGTCTTGAGATTCTAAAAAGAGTGAACCGAACTTACCCTAATAGACCGGTTCACCAACAAAAAATGCTAACGAATTGTCAATTTACAGGGACACCAACATACCGAACAAAAAATATTCAATCACATTTTTTGAGACAAATGACATAGTTGTCATATTTCATGGCGCAAGATGTTTTTAGCAAAATGGCTGAGGAACAGTGGATTCTTAATGAAGATGGATATTTAAATGTAGATACAAATGTTAAAGAAATTGTTTACCATCCATACCTTAATGTCATCTTAATTTGTACACACACTGGAGTTGTGCGAGTTCTTGATGTGAATTCTGGCGTAATTTTGCACTCCAGCTCTCTCTCAGGTAACTACAATAAAAAACCATATTTTCAAAATAAGTGTTAGTTTTCTAAAAAAAATCTGCTTTTAGCTCAAAATCTTTCGGATGTTAAATGCAAATACATTCCATCTTTGGACAGGGTGTTATTTACAGATGGACAAGCGCTGGGTGTGAGATCTGATTACAATGGTGTTTTGCTACTAGACAGTATTCTTCAAAAGAGTATCGGTGATGACAGAGAAGAAGTTAGAATAGAGTTGCCCCTGTCTGAGGTATTTTTGAAATCTATTTCAAATATATAACCTAGGAGAACATCAAACTGTTCATATTGATTGAATATTAGAAGTCTCTTAATATTGTAGTTATATTAGTAGGAATGCCAGTCATTTAATTGTTTAGCAATTGTGTAACATGATGCAAACAGAAAATAACTAATTAAAAATGAATCTCCTTGTTTTAGGCCCCTAAGAGAATTACTTAATTTATAAACTAACCCTTGTTACATACATAAATGTGGGATTTTCTTTAATTTGAAATGAATTTTGTGTTATATCAGTGAAATTTTAACTGATATCAATCTCATGTTTTGTTTTAAAAGTAGTTTCAACATTAATTATTAACAATCCTAAATGTTCTTGTCTAAAATGGCTAGCCTTCTGAAATCAGAGAATCTTCAAAAATTACAATTAATGTTAACCAAACTCATTCTTTATAAAAGGTACCTGTTATGTAGCTTGGATACTTTTTTTGCAAATATAGTTGAATAGTGCCTTATGCAAAAGGTGGTATATGATAATTTACAATATTTAGTGCTATGTCATCGAAATACACTTTGGCTACCAGAGTAATATAAAAAACAAAAATGCCCTGGTTCTTTTTCTTCCCTTTGCAGTTATTGGACCACAACCAATTTTCATTTTGTAGTTTTAAGATAAGCCATTTAACACTTACTACATTTTGATATTTAATTCCTCATATATCTCTGTTTGGTAAAGTGTCATCGATATATAATTTTTATTGTGCAAATAAAGCATGGCAAATACTATCTATTTAGCTCAAAATTCACATTTGTAAAAGTGGCACTTATGATGTTTTGCATATGGCACATTTCAGTTGTCTGTCTATCTAAGTCATATACCTAATATATTTGTATTTTTGAATCAAGAAATATTCAATAGAAGTAGTGTACCAATAGGAAGCTTCTATAAAGTAATTATGTTTGGTACGTTGTGTTTTTTAATTGTTCTTAATGGTCATGTATTAAATATAGTTTTTTGCTTTTGTCTAGTATTATCTAGTAAACTATTTGCCAATTTATTGAAATCAATACTTAAACAGGTAATCTTAATAATACAAACAGAATTACATTAATATACATTCAAAAGGTAGACAATATTAACAGTACCTAACAAAATTACATTGAAACGAAATATAAATGGTACTTAGTAAATAATAAGATATCTACAGATAAGTCACTGATATGTATACATTTAAAAAAAAAAATATCAAACATTCAGATCTAAATTATATCATGTATTCAATCTTTATTATTTGTCCCAGTATGAGTATCAAAAGTATTTTCAACTAAACTTCTCATTTTGATACAAGTGTATGGAATTAGAACTGCAACAATTATTTTAATTAATTATTAAATTTATAATATGTATGTTAAAGATTATTTAAAAACTACATATGAAACTTATTATCAAAACAAATAATTATTAGTGGAATAGTAGTTTGTGCAAAAGGAGTGGATATGATGGCCATATTGCACAAAGACGAAGCTTAAGCACGGCACCATAGGCAGAGTGCTCAATCTACAAATTATAAAAACTATTTTATGTTATTAAGATAAAATAAACAAGGAAAGAAAAAAAGATTTAATTTGTTCCTATCCTAGATTTAAACTCAGGTCTTTCACATGAAAGCCAAGTGCCCTTATCTCACCTCAATCGAGATGCTTAAAATTTTTGCTCTAATACTCGTAATTAAATTAACGTCGTATAGTTTTATTAACATCAACGAATTATTTATAATTATAGAAAACAATTTCTTGTAAATTATTATTATTATTATTATTATTATTATGAATATAATCATTAAAAAGTTACTTGGAATAGGTTTTATTTATTTTTTTACTTAGGGAAACTGATCTTTTTGTGTATTTTTATATCACATTTGTAAGAAAACATTAAGTACAGTAAAATGTCTTAAATCTTCTATAATTATCTATAAGCTACATAATCTGTAAGACTCCACCAATTACATAGCTGTGTTCTTATTGTAATTGGACCTGAACAATTACTAGACCAATACTTTAATTTATAAGTAAGCAGTTGTTTTCTTGTTATAGCCATGTTTAATTTATTTAAACAAAAGAAAGCCTTTCGTTGAGAAATTTTTGGTATAACCATAAACAAATCTTGTACATAGATTCTCCCATAATAATTTGGCAATTATATGCATAACAAAGTTCGACTTTCGTAAACAAAATTGGTCTAATAGTTGTTCGTCATTGATCTATGTACAAAAAGTTAATACAATAATTGTAAGAGCTATTATTAATCAATTTCAGGCTATAATTCTGAAGGAAAGCCTCTCCTCGAGCAACATTCATGGGGTTGAGACAATTGTCAATGAATTAACAGATGTTATTTCAAATGCTCATCAACACCACAAAAAGAGCATTAAAGCACAAAAGGTAAGATATTTCAATAATTAGAAAACTGGTATCTATTTCTTTTTTAATATAATATTCTACAGATAATAATTATAAAGAGTTTCCTGGAAATAAATATACAAACCACAACTGATAAATAATTGCTTATTTTATGACATTGTTTATTTGTCTATTTAATAAAAAATTATTTTAAATTAAACTTTTATATCTGTCTCTATTTAAGAAATATTTTGAGTTCATAACATGATTGTATTAAATTTAATTTAATTTTAGTGGAATACAGTATGTCTAACTGTTCCTTTAGAAGACCTTAAAAATGCTACATCTACAACTGTTAGTAACTTATTGGCAAAAAATCAACATACTCCTGAACTAGGTGTAGCATCTGCTGTTCAGGAGAGATTATCGGATTTATTAGGGGAAAAAGTGAATGCTTCTGACAGAAAATCAATGGCAAGTGAATGGAGACGTCGTGAAACTTATTCACAATGGCCTCATATGGATTATAAGTAAGATTTTATCGTTTTTTTTTTTGCTTGTAATTTAATTTAATAATAAAAAATACAGAAATAAATTAGTAAACAATAAAAATCAGATATGAGTAAAACGTTTTGTATAAACTTTTTCAATACATTTGAGAACTTTTAAATTCTCACTTGTTTAAATTATTTCTGACACATTTTTTTACAAAGTTTCATTAAAAATATCGATTGGCAGTTTTTCTTTTTTTTTTTTTAAGAAACAAAATCAAAACAATGAAAGTGGAATCCCCAATAAATTAGTTTTCATTCTTCTGGTCCACTTTTATCATGGTTTGCAAACTTGTCTTTGTCACTTCATGATTTATTTAAACAAAAATACATTGTAAATACTGTGATATTTATTTAATTTAGTACTGAACTTTAGCCACAAAGACCCTATCCATTAGAGACTTCATGCAATGTTAGTGCCACCTTGTGTTTGAAGTGGTAAAGGGTGTGCATTTCATTCTCTCAGTTGGAAGTGGGCCGCTATAGGCTTTCCTACCCTCTTCAGATGCACTGCAGCAATCAGATACTTGGGAGATGAGGTGGAAGGAATAGTGGTAGGTATCTGAGAGGATGTTACTGGCCCACCATTTGCTCTGAAAGAAGTCCCCGACTTCTGTCCCTGCTCTGTAACAATAGTTTTCTATTAATCCTACCAGGAAATTGGTTTTATTTTAAAAGGTCCAATCCCAGAAGAAAAACGGGTTTGGTGTGGCGAGTTGATTTTGTATTTTATTACAAAATTACTTAATAAATGAATATTTTGGGTATATCATAATTTTATTAACACTAATGTAACATATTTTATAAATAATGTCTAATACCAAATGTAATTTAGGCATTGTATTATAAGGTGAATCATTTTACTATTCACAAATATTTTTCTTCTAAATTCACACTTTCTTACTAATAATTTGGGGATCTAGATAAATTCATTATCGATTAGTTGCACCTATTTATCTTTTTTCTCTATTTCGAAAAAGGAAATAGAAAATTCACAATTTTACAAATAACTTAAAATAAACTATGAACACAAACCACAAGCCAATAACAAAATCAAGATTA